AACTCTGGTCTTTCAGCTGAAGTCAAACTTCAGTAAGACTTGTTCTCCAAAGACATGAATCCTTGGGCAATTCTGGGATACTGCCTTAGCTGAGCCTTGTATCCCAGAAAGCCATTATCCGAAGCATTACCCTCCGTTGGCCCTGTGTTTCGGATACCCATCTTTAAGAAATAAAGAAATTGTTTATTCAGCTGGAGTCATACTTCAATTTCTGGGGGGACAAGAGGCACTATCGGTGCAAAATTATGTTCGGCAGAATTGAAGAGACGGTAAAGCATTAAGCATTCAAAAACAAAGCAGCTGAAGAAAAGAGCATCAAATTAATAGTTCATGCTCAAAAATTGAGCTACAAGTCCAAATATCGGCAGCCGCCCACAAGCGGAAAATAACAGCTGCCGAAATACGTACAGAAGCAAAAAAAAAATGATAAACTGTTTTGTACGACAAGGCAAGCTGAAGCAAAAAACAAACAAGGCAAAAATTCAGAAAGCGGCAAGTCTAAAGTTAAGCGCATGATGAACCGCAAGATTCTGAAGACGACTGCCCGAGTTCCTATGCTTCAGCCCGAGGATCAGACTGATCAGCATTGTTGGGCCCTATGGTGGTCTCAGCCCCAGCAGCAGAAGAAGCAGGCTTTGCACTCTGCCGAGCCTCCCTTTCCCTCTGTTCAGCCTCCAACTCCATTCTCTCAGCTTCTTCTTCGGCTTCCTCAGCCTTAAGGATTTCAGCTTCGATTGGAGTTGCATATTTCATATGAGGGTCTTCGGGATCCTGGACCCATTCAGCACATTTGGACCAGTCCAACTTCGGCTCAGCATGAAGGCAGACTCTTCGGCACACTCTGAACCCGTTTCTGAAACCCATTTCATATTCTTCCTGGGTATAGACACGGACTTTGAGTAGAGCCTCAGCATCAGCCAACTTCTTCTTTGTCTCCTCCAAGTCTTCCTTGGATTTCTTTAGCTCATCGGCGAGCTTGGAGGAGGAACCTTTCAGCTCATTCATCTCCTGCTGAACTTGGGAAGCCTCAGTCTGAGCCTGGGCCACTTCTTCCTTCTTGGCCATCAGCTGATCCTCAGCTTCTTGGAGTTTAGCTCTCTGAGCTTCAGCAGCAGCAGCAGCCTCTGAGAGTTGGACATCCCTGGCTTGGAGCATCTCTTCAGCAGCCATTCTGCTGGCTTCAAGAGCTTCTAGCTGTTGCTGCACTTCAGCTTGTGCAGCAGCTCCTCCTTGGATTCGGCTCTCAATTGTAGCCTTGAATTTGGAGATGTCCACTCCCATGTGCTCTTGGAGGAATTTTTCCCCTTCCATCAGCGGAGGAAAAATTTCCTGCTCCATAGCATCGCAGAAGGTCTTGAGGGCTTCAGCAGCTTTTTTCTCATATTCTTCGCCCTTCTGCTGCTTCTCTTCAGCTGCTGCTTGCTTCAGCTTAGCAAGCTTTAACTCCTCCTCGGCTACCTTTTTGTCGTGCTCGGCAGCGTCCACCCTATCTTGTAGGGTATCTATCAGCTCTACAGTGAGAGTCTGATTGTGCACGAACTGAAAACAGGAGCACAAGTTAAAATAAAAAATAATAATAATAATGATAATTGAAGAGCTGAATTTTAAAGGAGATAAAGGCAAGGAAAATCACCTGCATCATCAGCAGTTGGTTAGACCTGGCTGGGTCAGGAACTGATCTGCTGGATTCGCCCATCCCAGCAGTGGCCTTCAGCGACCAGATTCTTGCCCTATCTACTTCGGACATGCCAGCAAAATCGCCGAAGTAGGCTGCAGCACCTTCTCGGTTCTGACCCCATATGAGGTCCCAGATGTGATCTGGGATTGGAATTCGGGGGGCCGAGAAACCCATTTCTCCAGACTGCAGCGTCTGGAAGGAAGGAAAGGATGATGATGGAGCTTCTTTAACTTTGGATGGCTCAGCATCCCCCTTCTTCTCAGAAGAGTCAATTATTATGACTTCTTCTTCTTCTTCTTCAGTGAGGACGAAGGCCTCAACTTCTCTTGCAATGTCTGCCGTGAAACCCTCAGCACTGGGCATCACGACATCTTCATTCTTGTGCTCAGCAGCACTTTCTTGCACCTCTTCTTGGACCCCTCCCTTAGGTTCGGGAGTTTTCTGATCCACCTCCATTTCGGAAGGTGGCGGAGGGGTCTTTGGAGGTGATTGAGGTGGTGGCCGGGGAACCCTCGGCGATCCATTGCCTTCCTCGGGTTCCCTTATTTCGACGCCGATGGTCATCGGCCTCCGCTGAAAGTCATGGGGGCCGATGATGGCCATTCTTCGGCGCCTTTTCTGAAGCGGCTGCTCGTCCATGTCTGAGTCTGAGGACTCTTCTTGTATCTGGTCTTCGGGACGAACAGGGGCTTTCCCTTCTCTGTGTCTGTTACTCTCTTCAGACTGTAAAAGACAGGGGGGAGGAAGAATGTGAGTATAAAAAAAAAAAAAAAACAGAAAACAGAACGGAAACAGACAAAGTTAAGTCTGAAAGCTCACCGAGGTCTTCAGCAAAGCCTCGTCTTCTTCAGCTGCTCTAGCTGCAGCTTCTTCTTCAGCAGCCCTGGAGGACCCTTCTCCTCCTTCACAAGCTTCAATAACCCGTGCAACCTCTTCGGCTGTACGGGCAGCTTCAGCTTCTTCGTCTAGCAGCTGAAACCAAGGATCTCTCTTCTTCCACCAAGGCTTCTGCCTCTGATACAGAGCAACAACCTCAATTTGGAAGTGGGAAGAATCTAGATGAACTTCCCTGTACCTCGGTTCAGTGATAGAGGGGGCCCGATCAGTTACAACTCGTTCTCGGTTGACGCCGAGACGGGCGTAGTTAATGCCGACATTGGTCTCGTCCCGCTCTGAAAAAGAAAAAGAGAAAGGTCAGTCCAGTTAAGTTGGCACAGCATAAAAAAAAAAGCGAAGTGAAAGAGAAAAAGATATAATTAAAAAGGCCTCGGCCCCAGCCGAAGAAGCTCACCATCCTTAAACTTTCGGCTGAGGACGACAGCTGCTAGCATATTCTCTTGGAAAACGTAATGCGTATCGGGGAGCCAAGTCTCCGGGATATGCTGCATACGGCCACTGCCCCCCCGGTTCGGCAGCTTGCCGAAGATGTTTTGTTGATTAAGGTTTGGATCTGGCCCGTTATCTTCGGGGGGACCTAAACTCCCCATGTCGGGATCAGGCTCAGCAAGATACCGGGGAGCGCTGAAGACGCAAGGGTGGCTCGGGTCTGTGGGTGCCCTAACCCAAATCCATTGGCCTCTCCAGTCCTTGTCTGAAGAGTCGTTCGGCCACATGGTTAGGTACTGGGGCCGAGACTCAATTCTGTACCACCCAGAGCCATGACTTCCGTGCCCACTTTGAATGTTTGGCACTAGCCGATGGAGCTTTTTGAAGCAGTGCAGGTTCGGCACGTATCTGAAGAACTTGCAGACCCATAAGTATGTCATCACCCTTCGGATGCTAATGGGAGTTAGCTGACATAAGTAAATGTTGTAATGGATCAGCAAGTCTCGGACAAACACGTCCAAAGGGAACCTCAGCCCATACTGAAGTTGTCTTGTGTACACCCCCACATACCCCGGGGGTGGACGATGGATTCTATCGGATGCCACGGGCACTCGGCACCAGTACCCATCAGCTTCAAGGATGCCGTAATGCAATTCAATTTGTTCGGCAAACCGGTACTGTTCGGCATTCTCCACCCACCATGAGTAAGGGCGGTTCTTTATCATGGCCGAAGTTACTTCGGCATCCTCCCACTCTGAAAATCCGGGAAGGATATCCCAAAGGACAGCGGGAACTTCATCGTCCCGCCCAGAAGCGCTCGGCCCCTCCGCTCTCTGAGGAGGAGCCGAAGAAATGGGAGTCGCCCTAATCCCTTCAGCAGGGTCAGACCCTGCTCTTTGTCCATTCCAGGTCCCAACCCTGCTCCTGGGATCGGGAATTGGCCTTGCTCTTCTTGGAGCACGGGCTCTACCTCTAACTCCTCTCACCATTGATACTTTTGAAGAAAAAGTCGAAAAAAAGGGGGAAGGAGTTCAAATTCGAAGAAAAACAAACTAAAATCAAAGGAATTTACCTTAATCTGAAGCGGAAATTGCCGATTTACGAATTGGTAGTGACGAGTCTCAATTTCTAAGCTTAATGCTCGGGGAATTTGCGAAGTTTTGATGCGGGTTCTCAGGTTCTCTCAAAAATGCTGGGTTGTGTTGGTGAATGAGTGAGGAGAAATGACGCGCCTCTAGTTATATCTCTGGAAATGGGAATACGAGGAGTCTGAGTTTTAATTTCTCTTAAATACCCCACTAAGTAACCGTTAAACACACGATCTTGTGATTAAACCGCCCATTATCCGTCCAACTTCCACAATTATCCGCCTTAATCGTTGTTATCTCATTAATTACGGTTTAAATTCAAATTTTTGGATTAATTAAATCATTTACTTCCCTCCTTTTCTGATTAAGTCAAACCCGACCCGTCATCCTTCCAAATCGGGTCTGGGGGGCAAGTTGTTTGGGTCCAATTTAGTCCAATTGGGCCTATTCATTAAATGATCCAATTTAAAGCCCAAGGTCAAGGTTCAACTCTCCAATTGTGCTAAAGTCAAAGATCAGTCCTCAAAGCAAGTCCATTGGGCTAAGGCCCAACTTCTCCATATATGCAAAGGTATAAAAGCCATCAATATTTCATTTGTACATGATAATTCAACAAAAGCCTCAAGCAATTAATTCTCTTGCATAGTGTTCTCTTTCTACACACTGTACTGACTTTAGCATCGGAGGGGCCTTCCTCGGCAACACCCCCGAGGCTAGTTTACGTGTGTTTACTGTGCAGGAAACCTTCGGCCCAACATCACTTGGACCGAATCCGGTCTTCTCCACTTCATTGGACCTTCGACAAGGTCCCATTGTTTTCACCCGAAACACCAAGTATAATCTTAGACATGTTATTTTTCTTTTCACAATATTAATTCAAAAAATGCTTCATATTATGTCGATAACAGACTTCTACAATTGGAACCGCGTTATGCTAAGATACTGTGATGGAGCTTCCTTTGCTGGCAATTCCTTGTACGAAAATGGGGTAAATATATTTCAGCCTGATCTCTTTTCAGATCAGTTTTTTGTACAATTACAGAAAATGATTTCTGTTCTTTCTTTCTAATTTTGGCATATGTTAACATTGGACAGACCTCATCGCTTTACTTTAGAGGGCAAAAAATTTGGCAGGCAATTATTTCTGATCTTCTTCCACAAGGGTTGGCACATGCAGAGAAGGTAGATTACTGAGATAAATTTCTAAGATTATCTGTAATAAAGCCTCTAAAATATTAACCTTGCAAAAAGCATAGGCATAAGACATTTACGCGTACTCTGATCTGCACTCTGTATAGAGAATTAAGCAGAATTGTGTTTGCAATTTTCTATGTGTTTATTGCTGGTGATAGTACAAATATTTATACACAGAAGTATCCTGTAAATTAGGCAACTACTACCAAGGTTACAGCAACTACTACCAAAAAAATAGCCTAAATATTTGCAGAATAATATTTAGTCCCTTTAATTAAGGAACTAATTATGGTTATTTCTACACTCCCCCTCAAGTTGGGCATTTGGTGCTCCAATGCCTAACTTGCGTAATGTCTCATCGAATGCTTCACTGTTGACAGCTTTTGTCAGGATATCAGCTAACTGATCTCTTGATCTCACAAATGGAAGTTTAATTATCTTATCTTCCAGTTTGTCTTTTATGAAGTGTCTGTCTATCTCAACATGCTTCGTTCTGTCGTGTTGAACTGGATTTTCTGAGATACTTATTGCTGCTTTGTTATCACAAAAGAGTTTGCATGCTGTTTTTTGTGGAAAACCAATTTCACTCATAAGTTTCCGGATCCATAAGATTTCAGTTATCCCTTTTGCAATACCTCTGAATTCTGCCTCTGCACTTGACAAAGCCACTACTTTCTGCTTCTTACTTCTCCAGGTGACCAAATTACCTCCTACTAGGGTGAAGTATCCAGAGGTGGATTTTCTACCATCACGATCTCCTGCCCAATCTGCGTCCGTGTACGCAATTAGATCTAGGTGATCATTCTTGTCAAAGTAAATCCTAGTACTACTTGTACCCTTTAGGTACCTCAAAATCCTCATTACTGCTGTCATGTGTTGTACTTGTGGAAGATGCATGAATCTGCTCACTACCCCTACTGCATAGGCTATGTCTGGTCTTGTGTGAGCTAAGTAAATAAGTTTCCCCACAATCTTTTGATACTCCTCCATATTAGTCAATTTTGCACCTTCAAGAATTTGAAGGCCATGATTTGCCACAATCGGTGTTTCAGCTGGTTTGCAACCAAGCATTCCTGTTTCTACCAGAAGGTCAAGAGTATATTTCCTCTGGTGAATGAAGATCCCTTGCTTTGATCTCAAGACCTCTATGCCAAGAAAGTATTTGAGATTGCCCAAATCTTTCATCTCAAATTCCTGAAATAATTTTCCCTTTAAGTCTGCAATCTCCTCCTCATCATTTCCTGTAATAATCATGTCATCTACATAGATGATTAAACAGGTGATTTTCTCTTTTTCTTTCTTCAGGAATAAAGTATGATCGGAATTACTTTGCCTATATCCAAACTTCTTCATAGCTTTTGTGAATCTTCCGAACCACGCCCTAGGAGACTGTTTTAGTCCGTAGAGAGCCTTCCTCAATCTGCATCCTTCCCCATCTCTAAAATCATGAGAATATCCAGGAGGTACCTCCATATACACCTCCTCGTCAATGCTTCCATGAAGGAAGGCATTTTGTACATCAAACTGGTACAAAGGCCATTCCTTGTTTGCAGCTACAGAAAACAGAACTCGTATCGTGTCAATTTTGGCCACAGGAGAGAAAGTTTCTGAGTAGTCTATTCCATATGTCTGAGTGTATCCCTTAGCAACCAGTCGTGCTTTGTATCTCTCAATAGTTCCATCTGCTCTGTATTTGATGGAGAATACCCATCTACATCCCACCTTCTTCTTCCCCTTTGGTAAGATGCATTTCTCCCAAGTCTTGTTTTTCTGTAGGGCCTGATACTCTTCTTCCATAGCCTGCTTCCATTTTTCATTCTTGACAGCTTCCTCCACATTCTTTGGAATGTCTGCGGAGTATAAAGAGGCATTGAAAGCTATGGCTGTGCTGGATAGATTTTCAGTGCTGATTCTTTCGATTGGATATCTCGACCGTTGGTCCTCATATTCAGGATCATATCTCCTTGGTGGAACTCCTCTCGTACTTCTAGGAGGTAACTCATACCTGTTTTGTTCACTTTCATTGGAGACAGGATTAATTTCAGGCATATTATAGGAAACAGGAGAGCTTTCAGATGGTACCTCTTCAGATGGATGCTCATTTGGCGGATTTGGTGGAGACCGAAGAGGAAGTGAGACTACTGCTTCTGGGGTAGCATCTGTGGTATTGCCTACTTGTGTTGTAGGATCTGGGTCCACCATTTCTGGATATGTCAGCCAGCTAAGGTCATCACTCAAATCCTCCCTCTGAGGACTTAGCTGGGTGTAATAGTAAGTTTGTTCAAAGAACTCACAGTCTAAGGTGGTGTAGACCCTTTTTTGAATTGGATCATAACAACGGTACCCTTTTTGATGAACCCCATACCCAATAAAGACACATTTAACTGCCCTAGGGTCGAGCTTATTTCGAGCCCGTTTTGGTAAATGAACATAGACAACGCACCCAAAGACTCGTGGAGGTAAAGAATGGACTGATGGGATGGTGACATGAGAGGATAAGGTGTCGAGAGGTGTTTTGTAGTCAAGTGGTTTACTGGGAAGTCGGTTTGTGAGATAGGTGGATGTAGCAATGGCTTCTGGCAAAAAAAAGACCGGGACATGGGATTCTAACATGATAGTTCTGGTTATTTCAAGAAGGGTTCGATTTTTCCGTTCAGCAATCCCATTTTGTTGGGGAGTGTCTGGGCACGTGGTTTGGTGAATCAGACCATGGTCAATAATGAATTGTTCCATATCTAAGGTTATATATTCCCCCCCATTGTCCGATCGTAAAATTTGTGGGTGAGCATGAAACTGAGTGCATATCATATGATAAAATTTAACAAAGACATCAAACACTTCAGATTTATGTTTTAAGAAATAAACCCAACTCATACGAGTACAATCATCCACAAATAAAACAAAATAAGAATAGTTATGGAACGCAAATTCAGGCGCTGGGCCCCATACATCAGAATGAATCAAAGCAAAAGGTTCAGAGGCATGACTTAAACTAGGATGATAAGTATGTTTATGACTCTTAGCTAAAACACATGCTTCACAGTTTAATGCTACATCAATATTTTTAAATGAGGGAAATAAACGTTTAAGGTAACCAAGAGAGGGGTGACCTAGCCGACGATGCCACATCCAAAGTTGGTTTTCCGGTGATCCATGAGCAAGCAAAGCGTTACCCTGTTGAGCCACCTCATCCACATAGTACAAACCCCCTCGTTCAGTACCACACCCAATGATCCGTCCTGTTATAGCATCCTGCACAATACAACCAGAATCCATTAGTAAGACTGTACAATTAAGCTCTTTAGTCAACTGACTCACAGATAAAAGCTTATGAGTGAGACTGGGAATTAAAAGACAATTATTTAAATGAATGTCCGAGGTAACATCAACGGTCCCAGCCTGGGTAACAGGAATATATTCCCCGTTTGCTGTTTGAATTTGGTTACGATGGGTGGTTTGAGTGGCTTTAATATCTAATGGGTCACACGTCATAGTGTCAGTAGCTCCACAATCAAAAATCCACGGGATAGGTCTATGACAAACAAGGCCAAAAGATTTTTGGTTTAAGCTAGGGGGCTGAGTATTTTCAACTTGGGCTCCTATTTTTTGTTTTATTGGGCTAAATTTATTTTGTGGGCTTGGGGCTTTAAGAGGGACGGTTAGAGGGTGAGAGGGGGTGGGTTTTTTGTGGGTTAGGTCTTCTACCGTCCTTGCCTCATCCTTCCCATTTTCAATCCCTCTTTCCATTTTCTGCTCTCTACCTTCCTGACCACCATAATTCTCGGTGGTACTTTCTGCTTCCTCCATGCTTGCGATCTTCTCTGCGCAACCTTCCTTGCCTGAGTTTTTTCCGCCACCATCATTGTCAGATCTACTGGGGGTTGGGCTCGATTTCACGGCAAGATGTGCCTTGCCGCCGGTCTGGTTCACGCCGACCTTGGTGGCGGCCTTCTTCTTTGTGTATTCCTCCCACCATTCCGGATACCCGATAATTTCGAAGCACCCCTTTTTGGTGTGTTTCGTTCCTCCACAATGGGTACACTTTAGGTGGGATTTGTCTTCTCGCCGGAATGAAGATTCCGACCGGCGATTAGCAACGAGCCCACTTCCAATTTCTGAGGGATTTTGTCCCGGTGATGAAACGCCGGTCATTATCCCGCGACGGGCAATTTCCTGTCTAATGAATGCGTATGCTGCGTCAACTGATGGAAGAGTGTCCTGATTCAGTAAGTCCCTCTTCTCTTTGTCCAGTGAGTCGTTAACACCAGCCAAAAATTGGTATAATCTCTGCCTCTGTATAAATGAATTAAAGAGGGTAATATCTTCTGAGCACTTCATTGGGTTTGGCATTCTCCTATCAATTTCTTTCCAGAGGGTATTCAGTTTACTGAAATACACCTCTAGGTTTTCGCTTCCCTGCTTCAAAGATGCAGCCTTTGTGTTCAGATCAAAGGTCTGTAATTCGTCCCTCCCACTACTGAGTAGGGTTTCAATGCCCTTCCACAGATCTCGAGCATGTTTATAATTTAGGAATTGGTTCACTAGATCTCCATCGATGTTTTCGATGATCCAGGACAGAACCAATGAGTCCCTTTGTGCCCACTGTGCGTACTCCGGATCATCTGGTGGTACGGGGTTGGCAGTGATGTGATTGAGCCTTCCCCGGCCACTAATTGCAATTTGCATCAATTTACACCATTTGGTGTAATTCGTAAAATTCAATTTTTCAGCAACACGCACAGTTTGTGATGTCCCTGATTCAGTGTTTATTGGGTTTTTGTTTAATTTCTGGAACATTTGTTCCATCTGTTCCATAGAAATCAGTTGGTTGTTGTTGTTGTTTTCCGGTGGCTCCCCCATTTCAAGGTAAGTCTCCGGTATATGATGAGGCTAATTTAGGTTTCGGTTTCCCGAAGATCCGAACCTTACGGCTCTGATACCATATAGAGAATTAAGCAGAATTGTGTTTGCAATTTTCTATGTGTTTATTGCTGGTGATAGTACAAATATTTATACACAGAAGTATCCTGTAAATTAGGCAACTACTACCAAGGTTACAACAACTACTACCAAAAAAATAGCCTAAATATTTGCAGAATAATATTTAGTCCCTTTAATTAAGGAACTAATTATGGTTATTTCTACACTCTGCAGGCTTTGCTTTCTGGCTGCTCGGCAGGGGGTTTAGCAGTGTTTCTGCACTGTGACAACTTCTCCAGGTCTCTACCTGGAAATGCTTCTGTCAAATGTATCAGTGATGCTGGTTTTTTCTTAGACGTGTGAGTCATCTTATTTACTCTATGTCCTACAAATTTTCACCTTCTGTTACCCTACCCTGTGTTTTCTGATTTCAGACCTTTGTCATGCTTGCAGAAAAGATGTAGCCAAGACTGACACAATTAGAACCTTATACCATGATGTCGTTTCTCTTCAAGGCGTTGAACAAAATCTCAACCAAAACTGCACCAGTTCTCAAATCGATCTTAAGCAAGTATGATTACGCAAATTGCTTGAAATATTCACATAATAATTTGCTTGCTTTTGATCCCATTATAATAAGGTTCTGATCTGATTTTTATCAGTGCTTATTTCCACAATATTTCCTGAGTTACATCAAGACTCCGATGTTCATCTTAAACACTGCATATGATACATGGCAGGTAGTACTGCTGCATCTCTTAGTTTCTGTGTGTTTCTTAAATCTATTGAACTTATCTGCTGTATAAGAACTTTCTTATTTTTTCAAGGTTTTGATTATATACTTTGGCAGTTTAATAACATCTTGGTACCATCTTCGGCTGATCCGGGAGGAGTATGGAATTCTTGCAAGAACAATTTAGCAACTTGCACTGACAGTCAAATTCAGACACTACAAGGTTTAAATTAGTCCCTTACTACCAATTTTCAAGCCTGTTTTTAGATAGTACAAGGTTTAATATATACTTGTACAAAGGTTATTATGCAAAAATCAGCTTTTATATGCACCTGACATTTCAAAACCTGTTATTCAGATTTTCGACTAGACATGCTCAATGCTACAAACTCTTTCTATAAATCTTCAACAAGTGGAGGAATGTTCATAAATTCATGCTTTGCACATTGCCAAACTGTGTATCAGGAAACTTGGTTCGCCGTTAACTCCCCTAGAATGCAAAATATGGTACTTAAATATTCTTTTCCTCATGGTTTTTTCTTATACATGAGTCCTAATAGTAAGTCATTTTTCACTCTTACAGCAGCATCGGTCATGCAATATGTATCTTTAGTATCTACACCCTTTTTTGTTACGGCGTATATATATACTAACATTGCTGCTTAGTATATGAGTTTGAATATATAATTTGTATTATCTCTTGGGATTTCTGAAGTATCCTTGAAGATCAACTAGTAACTATACTCTGTATATCCTGCAGACCATTGCAGAGGCTGTTGGCGATTGGTATTTTGAACGAAATGAGACAAAGCTGATCGATTGTCCATATCCTTGTGACTCAACTTGTCAATATTAGACCAAGATAAAACCCATCATAGGACTTGGAGAATTTTTTGGAGGTGAAGATTATAAAAGCAGATTCTTAATCTGCAAAAGATAGCTTTATTTTGCTGGTGCATTTCAGTGTACAATTTCTATAAGAAAAATAAACTTGTACCTGGATTACATGTTATTCAATCACAATTCTTCTAATCAAATAGTGTACTTCAATTTTACTGTGCCTTTTAACAGATCTACTACATCTGATTTGTTACTAAAGACATATCTGAACTAATTAAAATTCTTGTATTGTTTCAAAGTCACGTTAATGACTATGGCTAAAAGTAATTTAGGCTACTTCGTACAAGTATTAGATTGACAAAGAACGTTTGATTTCCTATTTAAATATTAGACGTATAGAATACCTATGAATGTCTAAACTAGTCCAAATGTGGGAGAAATTCAATTTTGAGGAGACCTTCGTCTAATCCACACAACCTTTATCGGTCAAAGACATGGAAAATGCTTGTTTGATCTAGGAAAGAGCCATTATATACCTTCAGTAGAGATACGTAATAGTTTAACTTTGATCAAAGTTAAGGGAAGAACACTCTAAATAATCCAACTTCTTAGACGACTTTGAGACCATATATATTATACAATATCTTAATTGTCTCCACCGTAAGGGCACCACTTATCTTTTAACTATCTAATAGTTCAACAAGTATCTCTCGCTTTTGTGTGTAAAGAGTAAAAAAAAAAAAACGCAAATAATAGATGAGACCGTCTCACACTAATTTATAAAGACACCTTAAAACATTTATGTCATAAAATAAACAATTCTTATGGGGGACTAACACAAAAGATGATGCATACAAAGTTTAAAATCATTCATTTGCATAATTAGGTAACATAGACTAATAATTAACCAAAGCTATAAAAATAATGATGATACAAGGACAAAAGTAGACCAAAAGCTTTTGTTAGTGGGTAGTGCTTGCTGTCCTCTGTTTTACCAATTGAATTCATGTATTTCATCAGATTGCTGTTTTCTTCAAAAGTCAAAAAGATAAGTTAAAAAAAGCTATAATTAGCCAAATTTTAAAAGGATTTCCTGATAAGGACTAACGGTTGAAAATTGAAAGCTGGGATACGAAGGCTCACTTTTACTTTGATAAGTGCATTAAGATCTCACTAACCTACTCTATAAGCATGTGCAATTTTTGCTTTGTCCACTTCAAAATATTAGTATTTTTTATTAAACTTTTGCAATTAGTCAAATTACTTCTTTATTTTGTAGTGGAAAACAACTCACAATGCACCAAGTTAAAACTTAAAAAAGTTATTTTGTCCTCATTGTATTTCCTAATTTATTTTCTCTTTCTTTTTATTTTCCCAAATTATCACCTTAGTTCTAAAAAATAAATTGTACCAATAGATAGATAATTTTGAATTTTCATGGTTGATTTTGCAAAGAAAATACTTTCTCTTTTCTTTCGTTATTGCAACATGTTAGCTAGGTAAGTATGGTGTACTAGAAGAGAGATAGAGAGGGAAAAAAATCCATATACCATGATTGAAGTCTTGAACGCCTTCCTTTCACTCCTACTTGTATAAAAGAAAATAGCTTAAAAAAAACAAAGGAAATATGAATAAAAGGTTCATTTGCAAATTTCAAAAATCAAGATAAATTATTTTTAACCAACCTTAGATTTTGTAATTTATAAATGCATACATGACTACTTATTATCAAGTTAATTATGCGCGAACTTAATATTTCATAACTTTAGTTATTGAATATAGTGAATATACTCCGTACAAATATAAAAAGTATATATTATATAATTAAATAATTAATTCTACTTTTGTTGGCAACATGTGCACGGTGGGGAGTTACAATTTTTTTTTATTCAATTTTTATAAACTTGTATAGTATATGTAATATACAAGTATTTGTGAAAATTCAACTCGATCAACCACAATTTGCAAGGTACTCAATCCCCTAAACTACTTGATCTGGGTCAACCTAGTGGTTGTCAGATCAAAAATTGACTTCTAGCATTTTTATTAGTCCAAAAGATCATGCCAGAGAATATTTTCACAAGTTTCAGTAGTGACTACTGCCACTAACCCATTAAACCCAACAACACTATTCATCTTATATGAAGACAAAACTATCTTCTAGTTAAATCATCTTGATTAATATACAAAGTACTTTGTATGAAACAATCTAGACTTAGCCACTTATGTCAGTGATAAAGACGAGATTAAGATCACTTACTAGTGTAATCTAGATCTTATGCGTTTGTTCTAAAGCTAATTGATGATGTAAAGTGTTACATAATTCTTTAATCTTAAGACGGTCATGTTTAACAACCCAATTTACATACAGATACATATATAACAAACACGTAGTAAATGATGACGCACAAGGTATAGCAAAGGATGGATGATATAACTATATAAATATAACAGTACATCAATAAATCTAATTTGATATGATGTTAGTAGCTTAGTATAAGTTGCAATCAAGTTGCAACATATAATGATGATAAACCTCCTTTCATCGAAATTTCATTTATCACTTGAATTATCTATCTTATATTCTTACGTACCAATGCACTAGAAACATACTATATAATATTCCCTTATGCTTTATTATATTCCAGTACAACTAATAATTTAAGTTACTATACATCATGGCACCTTTTCCTTGAAAGATATATTTCTTATTTATCTTTACAATATAGTTCAAAAAAACAATACTATAAACGTTACATATTTGATTATTTACTATCCCATGGTCGAAGAAGACAGCTAGCTTATAATATATCAGCAACATATAGATGCATGCATCAGCACCACACACCATACTTTGACTAGTTCCACCTTCTGCGCCACTCTTTGCCCCTTTTTGCCTTCTCCCTCAGGAGTTTTTTTGCAACTTGACGAGTTGTGTGATCTTTTCGTGTACAACATATTAGTAGTAAATCACAATTAAAGCACGCATATGCGCGCACATAATTTAGACTTAGACGTCGTTCTTCCTGTTTTATTCTTCTTTTTAGAAACTTATCGGTGTTAAGAGGGGTTATCAAAAGGTAGTAAAATTGATATCAAATCTAAGGTATTATACCACTTGTTTAACTTTGTTCAACTATAATAAGTTGAATGAAACTTTTTATCAGGTTTACAACTATACTAGCAATATCTTTGAATAATATATACAAAAGAATTCAATCTTATGCAATGTTTTGTTAGATCTTTCCTTTTTACCTTTGACGAATGTGGTTAATTAGTACACATTTTTACGATAGACTGCTTATGATATATATACATATGATGTATATTAATCTTAAAGATAAGCTAAGGGCTGCATATCAGATTTAAAGAAAGATGTATGATAATGTTGCTTTGTAGTTTTTGGCCTGGCTTAATTATCACTTTCTACACTTTAAGGTACAACAAGATATAAAATTCATTATCTAATTGAAAACATAGGCTGATATTTTAAATTTATTGGCTCAAAAGAAGGCATACAGATTAACATATATATCAACGTGACAACATCTATGTACATATATATAACCAGAGGGAAAATCGAATCCTGATATCTAATGTATCATGATCGAACCTCGGTCTTAACCTTTAGATTAAGGCCTCATTGGCTAAATTATTCTAATTAACTAAAAAAAATCAACTAACATCATATATAATGATCTCAATTAGTTGAATATTGTCTCAGAAATGAACAAATTTGTTATATTCTACTCCGTGTAATTAAGTACTAATCATCTCTAATTCTATATATATATATATATATATATATATATATATATATTATACTCCGTGTAAGTACGTAGTTACGTACTAATCATCTAGAGTATGCTGGCCATCCGATTTCGCATCCACATAGTTTCCTTGAGCTGATGAATTCGAAGTTATTAATGTTAATTCAGCAATTGTAATCACAACCTGAGGACAATCAACATGATTATTAGTAACGGCTTCATGTTTTGTAACGTTTTCGGGTTTTGATTTTTCTACAACATTGGTCTCCTTAATCTTGGCCTTCTTAAAATGTGCGAGTATTGCAAGATCATAAGTAGACTCAGCAATTTTCTCCGTGCAATCAACAATATCAATAAGTAGAGAAGCTAATGTCGCGATTGGTATGATTTGTAACAACTCGGCGTTTTGATTATATGATGAGCCGGATTTGAGGAACGTCTTGAAGCTTTTCACGGCTGCTTTTGAGCTAACAATGTGTGCATTAACTGAAGTAGAAGGATATGTCATTTTTCTTATGCTTGATCCTAACTCTTTTAGTGTTTTGCTTGATTCCAAACTTATTTTGGTGCATGCTTCTCTGATTTCTTCTGGGAATTTTTGTGGTTTCTGTAACAAATCACACAAGAAAAGTTAACTATTGTTACAACTAGTTGTATTTGTAGACCATATTCTCTTTGCAACAAAAAATTCATTAAGTAAAATCGAGATATTTAGTTAAGTTTAGTCAAAATAAGTTGATAAGAACAAACTCTTATTATCATTCAATAAAACTATTTAAATGTAAGGTTTATAAAATTATTAATATTAGGTAGATTGTACGTATTTTTAACCATATACCTGTGTTTGAGGATCAAAATAAGCATTAAGAGCATCAATTCTGTAGGCGCATTGCCTAACAAGGCCTCCTAGCTTAAGGTATTGATTCCATGGATGATGGTATCTAAACCGCCCGTGTCCTGGCTCCCACCTTGCGAAATTTGCCTACAATTCGAATAAACGTACATGTCATTTCGTTGAATTCTAGCTAGGAATCATACATTCTCTAGGAGACCGAAACGATGAAAAGAAATTAACGGCATAAAAACGTACCATGGTGTCTTCCACGTTTTTGGAATTCAAAACGCTTTTGTAGCCTTGAAAAGATGTTTTATTTCCATCCTTAGATTTAACTTCACCTTCAGATGATTTCAAGTATATAGTTCCAAATCCTGCAAAATTAGTATTTAATTACGTTACTAAACTATACAACATGTTACATACTTACATAGTTACATGTATGCATGCACTTTAATTCTTTATAGTAAAATAGTATAAGATGACCAATTTATTATGTGTACCTTCTAAGAAAAGACCTAGTTTTTCCATATTAGTGGCAACTGATCTATGTAATTCTTCACCGGCCCAAACAGGAAAAATGAGTGAGTTTATAAGCAAGCTAACGGAT